GTCGTTCTTTCCCCCCCCCCCGCCCCCAGGCAAGACAGCCCTCTCCCTGAGCCCCACGTCGTGAGGAGGAAAACAGAAAGGGGCAGCTGAGGACCAGCCAGCAGCGTCTGGTGCCCTGACCAGGTGCCAAGCCCTACTAGATTAGGGCTATCCCAACAGCTGATCCTATGATCCTCTTAGAGACACAAATGGAGATTAAAAACAATCTAACCCCAAGAGCCGGGCATCCCCATGTGGGGCTACCAGCCCCATTCGCAGGCTAAGACTAACCATAAGAGGGCCCGGAAGGTAGTCATGCTGTCATCTTCAGAGGAAGTCATGCTGTCTGGGCTACAGATCCATATCCACCCCTCTAACCTCCACCCAGTCTCTCATCTGACCCTGCCCTCTTTGAAACTGCTTTCCAGGCACTTCCCACTAGAATATCGTGATTCTTCAAGACTCTTCTGATTGGTTGTCAGCTTCCCTAAAACTCTTGCCCAACCCAACTGAAGTTGAGACAGAGCCACACTATGTGCTCCCACAGCCTGTTCCTGTTGAAACACTCATCACATTATGTGGCAGTTGCTGGATTACACATCTGTTCCTGCCACCAAAGCATGAGCTCCTTAAGGGCAGGGACTCTGACTAATCAGTAGAACCCAATATGTAGTGCTCAGTACATACAGTAAGGAATTACAAGGGATCAACTCCACTCTGTCCCCACCTAGTTTCCCCTTCACTTGTTAACTCTGGAAACCAAAGTAGGTTAGGTTAATAACCCCTAACATGAAGTCTTTCCAGAGGTTCTCCGAGAGGTCAGGGATTAGGATAATACTAATATTATCCTAATAATGATATTATGATCCTAATGATGCCAATATTACTCTGTTCTGAGTCTGAGGAAACTGAGGCTCAGAGTTGACAGTGTGACTAGAAATATCAGAACCCAAATCTTTGAATTCCTAAGTTCAGAGCTCCTTCAACTACCCTCCAACTGTTTTAGTTTTTAAATTTAGTGCAGCACACCCTGCATGCAGGTTAGGTCTTGCTGTCTTCATTTTTCTGAATAGGAAATCCAAGTTCCTAGTTTCACATGCCTAGGAAATGATAGAGCCAGGATATGACTCTGTATGGTCTATTTGACTTCAAACCTCATGCTTTTTTCTGTACTATGCTGCTTCTCCCTCAGTACAGGAGGGTTTGGACTGAAAGAAAATGGGCTAAGAGTGGATGGATAATTGGGGAGGGGAGAACCAAAGCTAACCTAGCTCTTTTGCTACCCACCTCTTCCCACTCCAGGCTGTGGGAACAGTGCCCTGAGCTATGAGCTATTCCTCGGGGGCTTCCCTGATGTGACCAGTGTGGACTACTCATCAGTAGTTGTGGCCGCCATGCAAGCTCGCTACGCCCACGTGCCTAAGCTGCGCTGGGAGACCATGGACGTCCGGGCACTACGGTTTCCAAGTGGCTCCTTCGATGTGGTACTCGAGAAAGGTACACTAGATGCCCTTTTGGCTGGAGAACGGGATCCCTGGACCGTGTCCGCTGAAGGTGTCCACACTGTGGATCAGGTGCTGAGTGAGGTGAGGGAGCAACAAGAGAGGAGGGCAGACTAAAAGATGGCATTGAGGGGTTTAGGTTTTAGGAGATTGGGAGAACTCAGACGCCAGGAGGTATGTTTTGGAGCAGTCACTCTCAGGACTGTGGTTACCTGGAGGAAGGGGAGGGTTACACTGGGCTAAGATTATAGGAGGCTGGAGTGGCCAGGCTCACAGAGGTTGATGATTGGCTACTGGGTTGCCATAGGGATGAGGTAGCAGCCAGGTTCCAGATAGATAAGACTGGGAGGATGAGCAGTTGGCAGGAAAGCAGTGTCCCCTGCACCTGACATCACTTCCATGCTCCTGCCTGTCTAGAATATAGCCCTACCCCCATGGAATGACCAGGGGCACAAGAGGCTCACTCTTTTGCTATGGAAAGCTAGGTGTGGGATGGTACTTGGGAGGGTATCTGGGGCAATACTGACCTTAGAAAACCTGGAGATGGACTCCTCACCAGTGGCTTTTCTTTCTGCTTTGCAGGTGAGCCGGGTACTGGTCCCTGGGGGCCGGTTCATCTCACTGACCTCTGCTGCTCCCCACTTTCGGACCAGACACTATGCCCAAGCCCGTTACGGCTGGTCCCTGAGGCATGCAACCTACGGCAATGGTTTCCACTTCCATCTCTACCTCATGCATAAGGGCAAAGAGCTCAGTGTGGCCCAGCTGGCCCTTGGGGCCCAGATTCTCTCACCCCCCAGACCTCCCACCTCACCCTGCTTTCTTCAGGATTCAGATCATGAGGACTTCCTCAGTACCATTCAGCTGTGAGGTTAGAATATCGTCCTCCAGCCCTCTATGCCTTTCTGCTCTGGACTCTTCAAGTTGTTGGGATTCCTGACCCAGGGCTTAGGGTTGGGTCCAAGGGGCCTCATCCCAGGGGCCTCATTCCTAAGACAGTGCTGCTGGGAGCAACCTCACATGAAACAATATAGCTCAGGCTAAACTAGATACCAAATCCCAAGTTTCTGGCTTCTTCCTTCCTCAGACCTCTCCTGGGTTCCCCAACTTCTTCTCCCTCCATACTGAACCACTAGTGGCCCATCCTCTTGGGCAAATCTCAGCACAGCCCCTCTGCATGCCAGCTAGACTCAGAGACCTGCATCCTTGGGGCCTGTTGTTGCCCCCCATTCAACCTGGATTTATCCACAGGAGGCTGCAGACTTTGAATCTAAATTGCTTCATACTTCTGACCCTAGCTCCAGCCCCAATTCTGGTGATCTATCCTGCTTAGGTTGTATATTTACCCAAGGAAGCTACATTGTAATGATGTTCTGAGGCTCACCTGCCTGTGTTTCCTTGGCAACCCTTCCCTGCCAGCAGCATGCACCTGAGATTCCCAAGTACCTCCCCACCTCCCCAAAAGGGATTAGAACCATTTTGGCCTGGCTTCTGAACAGACTGAAATAGCGGCCACACGCACACACAGGGAGGTCTGTGTTTATTCACACACTCCTGGTACAGTAAGGATGGAGGAACATTTACAAAGGACACCCCTGTGTTGAGAACATCTCTAGGGCCACAAGTGTCATCCAAAGGTGCAGAACAGTCCCCATTTGGGTTCCCAGGGGCAGGGCGCAGGGTCCAAGGTAAAATCAGACCTGGGCCCTTGAAAGGTGTTACCTTGAGAGGAGGGGTCTGCCAGAGAGCCACTGGGGGTCAGGCCCAGGCAGACTGGCCATGTGTTGGTTACCATATTGGGGGCTTGTCCATTCCTAGCCTCAAAACTCGTCCTATCTGCCAGGCGCAGAAGAGCGAGGATGAGACCTAGGAGGGTAGGGCACGAACCATGATGGGAGCCAGTAAACAAAGAGTCGGATATAAAAATACAAATGTGCTGAGGAAGTCCCTTAGAAAGAGGCTGAGGCTGGGGTCACGCCAGACAGGGATGGGGGTGAGGAGCGGCCTGGAGGGCTGGGCTCGGGTGGGTAGGAAGCTCATGCAAATACGCAGCCAAACATCCCTGGCCACACGCGCGGTCCGACACCGGCTGGCAGCTGGGTCTGCAGACCAGACCGGCCAGAGAGGGCGGGGCAGGGGAGCCGTGCGGGAGGGGGAGGACCGGGGGCTGTGGGCTGCAGGTCTCTGTCCGTTCCGGTGTGCAGGGTGGGGCTGCGGCCCGAGGTTCCCCTTCAGCACGTCGTCTATCCGGTCATCCTCGATCACCACTGCGCAGGGAGAAAGCGCGTCAGCCGCGCGGCCTCGGGGGGGGAGGGAGAGAATGGGCCCCGCGTCCTTGCGCCTCGCTCACCTACTGCTCGTGGCTCAGTGACGCCCCCGTGCCACAGTGCCCTCCCTATCCAAACTCTCTTGGCGGCCCAACCCACTGCTGAGCCCAGCTCTCACAGGCCCTCCTCCCGTCCCTGTGGAGGAACGCCCCCTCTTCCTAAGGCTCTAGCCGTTCAACCTTCCCGACCATACCCTCCCACCCCTGAGCTCTCCTCTGTCCGAGCTGATCAGAAACCTTTGGCTCATAGGATCCCCTTCTTCAACCCTCACTGCAACTGAATCCCGTCCTCAAACGGAATCTCCAGCTAGACCAACCCTCTCTTCAACATAATCCTCTTGGCGCTTGAAACCCTCTTCTGATCCTGGTACCAACAGAGCCCCTTCCCAAGCAAATAACGAGGAGATCCGATCCCCCTGCTGCCCTGCCCTCTCTTCAATCGGACGTCCCTTCCCACCCGAAGGCTCTTCCCGTAGCATCCACCGACTCAGCGTTTGTTCTGAAGAAGCGGCCCGTCGCCCCACGTTCCCACTTCCAGGCAGCTCCAAATGCCCCGGCCGGCCCCTCCCCCTCGCCAGGTGCCAGGACTCTACTTCCAGAGGTGGCGAGCATCGAATCCGGGGCACTGCGTTCCCGGGAGAGGAGAAGAGAGGGGCAACACTGCAGCGGGGACCCTCCCCCCAAAAGCCCCGGCCAGCGAGCGGCTGGCTGCGCTGGTCTGCGGCAAGAGCTGCGGACGCTTGGCGGGGAACCGCAGCCGGGGGGCGCCCGGCAGAGGGTTTCTGGGTCAGGCGGCGACTCCGGGCCCCGGCCGCGTACCTCTTTTGGCTCGGCCGATCTGGCCCAGCTTGGGGGGTCGCTTGGCTTGGTTGCCCGCAAAGAAGGAGTTGGTGTCCTGGAGGCGGCAGCTGAAGGAGAGGTCAGAGCCCTCGGGGTCAGCGCCGAAGCGGCCCATCTTGTCCTCACTGTAGGGCAGGATTTCGGACATGGCGGGCGCGGGCTGGGCGCGGGACTGCGGCGGGGCGCGGACGGCGGGCTAGCTTCTGGACCGGCCCTAGCTCAGCAGGAGAGCCGGCGGAAGGATGAAGTCATGCAGCA